AAATGCAAAAGCTCCCTACCGTAAGAGAGGGGAAACCCCCTTAACACCCCCCCCCCCCATCAGTCGCTTCGCTCCCTCGCATCTCACTCTCACCTATCACCCAATGTTGGCAGCCCTGTAAACAGCATGCTACAATAATAATAATAATAACAAGTGTGACCTCCCCTCCTCACCTGAGCGTCAGTATCGTCGTTAGGGACTCGTCGCCATGGATACGCCGCGCGAGCATGCTGGACAACACGTGGCCGAGACGCGAAGCGTCCTTGATCGCCGCGACGACCTTGTCGTACGCTCCCGGCTGTCCGTGTAACTCCACGTCTGGCTGGTTCAGTTCCTGATAGCTGTAACGCACGCCGCAGCAGCAGAGACAGAGAGAGAGTTACGCGGGGGGCGTTACTGTTTCTGCGCTAATTAGACACTGTTAATTAGACACATTAATTACATACACGCACATAATGCACACACACACATACACGCATCTCTCTATGCTGCAGGCACGGTGACTCACGTGGCTGTGACAGCCCCAAACCCCGCCTCACCAGCACCACCGCCGCCACATCAACCGACAGCCGCGAATCGCTCGACCCAGCCGCCGCAGCGGGGCGCCACGAGTCGACGGCCACGGGCAAGCACTCGCCGCGTGCGTTCGACGCGCCGGACAACAAGAGAGCAGCGGGCGGGCGGCGGGAGGAGCGTCGACGCGGCGGCGGCGGCGGCGAGCGGCGGCGCCACGGTAGCAGCGGGAAGTCGGACGCGGCGGAGCGAGGGAGCGCCGCGGCGGCCGGCAAGGACCGAGGGAGCGCCGCGGAGAAGTTCAAGAACCTTCCGCCGCGCCTGCAGGCGAAATACATGGAGCTGCATCGCGGCGGAGGAGGAGGAGGAGGAGGAGGAGGGAGGAGAGACGCAGCAGAACGAAGGAGCTCGCTCGACCAGGGTAGCTGGCGCGGGGCCGAGGCGGAGCAGGGTGCCAGGGGTCGCGCGGAGGTCGACCCGGGGAGAAGGAGCTCCCTCGACCAGGGGAAGGCGCCGTCGCACGCGGGGAGGAGGGCGGGCGAGGAGGGAGGAGGGCGGCGCGGACGCGAGCCGGAGAACTGGCGGAGGCCGGAGCCGGATCGTTCCCGAGAGGAGGCGTTCCAGGAGAAGGTCGCCGAGGGAGGAGGGGGAGGAAGGCGGCACGACGCTGTCTCCGACGATGACTACAGGGAACACCGCTACCCCTCCTCCTCCGCCGTCGCCGGCGGCAACCACCGCCGCGGCACGATGCCGGACAGCATCGCCGCGCGGCCGACGCCCCCTAGCGGCCGCGGCCTGCTGCGGCTCCCGCCCGAGGTGCTGTCGCAGACGAGGGGGCGCCACACGCCGCCCGCGTACGGCCACCAGGAGGAGGAACCGGGGCGCGGCGGCGGTGGTGCTGCATCCCGCGTTGCCGCGGCGACGACGACGAATCGTCGGCTGTACGATCCAGACGCGGCGCAGCAGCAGCAGCAGCAGCAGCCTTCGTCCCTCGTGTTCACGAACTCTACGCTGAAATTCGTCGATGGCGCCGCAGAGGGAGGGGACTACTACTCCTCCCTCGCACCCCAGCGTCAGCAGCAGCAGCAGCAGCAGCAGCAGCAGCCGTTCCCCTACCCCGCCCACTACGGATACGCGCCCGGGGCGTCGGCGGGCGGGGCGGAGTACGCGGCGCCACCTCGCGGCAGCGATGCTAACTACTACGGGTATCGCGGGGCGGTGCCGCCGGTGGCGCCCTCTCAGGGCGGGTACGCGGCAGGGATGCCTCACGGCGACGGATGGGACCCTTACTACTACCCCAGGTAAGAGGGAGAGCTGTGTGTGTGCGTGCATGCATGACAGTGCGTGCATGCGTGTGTGTGCGTACATGCGTGCGTGTATGTGCGTACATGCGTGCGTGCGTGCATGTGTGTATGTGCGTGTGTACATGCGTGTGTGCGTGTATGTGCGTACGAGCGTGCATGCGTGTATGTGCGTGTGTACATGCATCTGTGCATGTATGTGTGTACATGCGTGCGTGTGTGTGCGTGCGTGCGTGCGTGTATGTGCGTGTGTGTAGGTGCGTACATGCGTGCGGAGAGGAGGAGGTGAGAGAGAGAGAGAGAGAGAGAGAGAGAGAGAAGAGAGAGAGAGAGAGAGAGAGAGAGAGAGAGAGAGAGAGAGAGAGAGAGAGAGAGAGAGAGAGAGAGAGAGAGTAGTAGTAGTAGTAGGAGTAGGTAGGTAGTAGGTAGAGGTAGG